AAAAAAAAAAGTGGTATCATGGCACCGAGAGCAAAGTTAGTTTTTCCCACACTTCTAGTAATAAGTTCCAGGAGGAGGAGGCGTTCTGTTTTTTAAATCACGTGATGCATGTGCTTTCATTGTGAAATCTTGCGACGGGAATAAAAATGTTAAAAAATGGCTCCTCAGAGAAACGTCTTCCAGGAAACGCCAGTGAAAGTGCCAATGTTCACCAGATCACATCCAGGAGGAGCAGAAGTTTGAAGTGGACTCAAACAATAGCATGTGATGTTTCTTCCTTTTTAGTTTTTTATTTTTTTCCCTCTTCGTCTGGCTTCCTGTTTGCCTGTTTCTCATCTCAGCTCAACTCCGTCCCGTCGTCGAGTCCACTTCGCCGAGCAAAACTTGAATCTAGCTGCCAGCCGGCCGGTCGAGGCGACGTCGACGATGTTTTCGGTTCAGAGGGTTGGTCTGGCTCTGTGTTGTATATTTCACTTGTCAAATCGATCATTTGTGATGAAATTCAGAAACAATCTCCCCCCGTGTGTGTGTGTGTGTCTCTGCCATTTGTACAAACTTCCTGAAACAGATGAATATTTTCTGACGAGGAGGACGGAGTTGTCGCCTTGGTGCAATAAAATGAGCCTGCGTGTCGGCTGATGACGTCCGGACAGAAACCGACGAGATATATAATAAGCTGATCTTTAAGAAGAAAACAAAAAGCTGTGAACTGAACGTGTTCTTTATATTGTAACTGGAAAAACAAAAACAGAAAATAAGATTCTCTTAAAAATACAGGAATCCTCCATATTTAAAATACGTCTTCATTTACTTTTACATGAGATATTGTGTATTTTGGGCTTTTAAATCTTTAGTGAAGGACTTTTACATTTATTAAAAATAACAAAATTAGCTTTATAATAACAATAAAGTAGATTGAATAATAAATTATATATATTAGGATTAAAAACAACTCAGAAAACCTTTCATTTATGTAAAATTACAGAACCAATATTTACTTTTTCTATTATTTGTCACCAATTTGATCTAATTTTAGAAATAAATTTACAATTTATTAACTTAATTTGATTAGTTTTGTTTTATATGTTTAAAAAAATTGAAATTACGATAAATTCGTAAATGTATTTAAACGTCCTATGTGGAAAAAATGTCAAATGTTTTTAAAAATTGGAAAAAATTTTATGGCTATTTTAGTATTATCTTTTCAGATTTTAAAAATATGTAACCGGTGCAGCTTTTATACCAAAATTTTAAATGAAATTAAAGTAAACAGAAAGCAGGAGTCCAATCTGTAAATTTGTGATTTAAAAAGAAAGAACGAAAAAAAATATAAATGTGGCATCAAGGGTTTAGAGTTTAAAGGGGAATTACAAAAAGTTTATCAATGTAGGAAGAATAATTATTTTTAAATTATCTAATCAACTTAAAGTTAAATGATCATAAAGAAATAAAACCAAAAATAGAAATTTGTGTTTCGCAAAAAAGAAAAAGGACAAACATGAGGGAGAAAAAGCTCCCGACTGAAAGAGTTTATAAAAACTATTACAGGTTCTGATGGCGTCCATTAGCGACGTCTGCAAAGTGAAATCTCACATTTTTTGCCTTCTCGAAGTGAAACAGAACATTTCTGCTGATTGAAGCTCCATCAGATTATCGTTTCTTGGACTTTTTTCCTTCCCACTTGTGAACTTTCTCCCAGAACCAGAGCTTCTCTCAAAACACTGATCGATGTGCTGAAAACAAAAGGAGCAACTGTGTTAATAAGAAAACTTCCAGAACTCGTCGTCCATCAGGGAGCAGAAAACGGCTTCATGTTCTTACACGATTCCTCGGACGGATGTTGAAGCGAGGTGTCATGTTAGAAGGAAAGCGTCTGTGAAGGACCGGGACAGAGAGAATTTGTGTTTTCCATCAGCTGAATGCATTTAATTCTGCACACGTTCACTAAATAAATGAACGCAAGAAGAAGTGTGAAGCTCAGATTACCCAGAATGATGCTGAACGTACTGCAGAGGAAACAGCTGGAAGCCTGATGAGCTAAAACACGAGACAAGAAGCCGAATGTGAACCAAACTGGGTGAATATCAAACATCTTTCCTTCACCAGATCAAAGTGGTTTCTGGTCACATGTTGTTGTTTTATTCAGCCTGAAGACAAACCACCACCACAGCCTGATGGTCGATGCAGAAAAGCACAAAAAAATTACTTTAGCTGGGACCTTGTGTGCATCAGAACCATGTTGTGTCACAAACTGAGATGTAATAATCCAACAGGAAGGTGTTGAGGAGCGACCGCGACGCCTTTATGGTGCGTTTAAGATCATTACATCTGCTGAGAGTCACTCAAAGCTTTTGGCACTTTTTTCCACCATTTCAGCGACTCGATCCCGCGTTAACTTGCTAAACTGATCCCTCCAGCATCCCACCGGCTCGGTTCGACTCTTTGTTTGCTGAGTCGGAGCAGCTGCCTTCCTGCTCATGACGGAGCTGTGGGCCTCGACCGCGACCTCGACGCTGGTGGCCTGTGAGTCAGCCGGACTTCTGCGTGAAGACGATGTCCAGGAGGCGCCGACGGAGCTTCAGAGGGTTCGGTTGATCCTGGAAACCTCCATCTGAGGAAACAAGTCGCAGGCCGAGGCATCAGGGGTCACGTCTGAGCGGCTTCATGCTGCTCGGGTTAAAGGAGCAGTTCAACATTTTGGGCTGCAAGTTAGAAAACAATTCTTTCTCTCTTTAAACCACAACAATGAACCAACTTGCTCAAATTCAGTTAAATACACCTGCGACAAATCAGAACGTCTGCTACGAAACCACAGCATCATATTTTTACATCATGAGTTAAACACGTGACTACATGATGAGTTAATTAGTGAACCGCAGAAGGTCTGACTACGATCTAAAAAGTCATTTTAATGCACAGTTGCAGGATAAACACTCACATTTGCTGATTTAGTTGAATATTTGCAGTTGCACACTGTTTTTTAGGGCTTGTGTTGACATTAATTAACTTTATGTGTGAATCTGATCTGAAATTTCTGCATTAATTGCTTAAAAAAACTCAATTCAAGTAATTAAATGCTTCATTTTTTTTAGTTCAGACTTTCAAGTCTCTAAAAATGCAAACTACAAATGATTAATTAGTCGTTTAAACACCACTGGTTGGAGAAGAATTGGTTTTATTTATTATAGTTTGATGGTTGAAGATAATTTAGTTTGAAATACTGCTGCAAAGTGTTGGAATGAATTCATTTATTTAGTTGTTGAGCTTCGTTAGCTAACCAGACGATCTGTTCTCACTGTTTTCAGTCCTGATGCTAAGCTAACTAGCCGTGAGACATAAATTAATTTTCTTATCTAATTTGGAAAAAAAGAAACTAAGGATCATCTTATCGTCCCTTTACGTGATCTGAAGCTCTGAGGACTGTGTTTGTTTGTTTTTTAGATCTAATATTCAACCATTTTCAGACTATTGTTCCTCTTTTGAGCCAATTTCTGATGAAATAATTTAATTTAAAAAAGCTTTGGCTCTGGTGCAGATCCCTGTTTATCTGTGACTCACTCACTACGTCGAGTTTCAGTCAGTAAAGGATGAAAAGACGGATTTTAACTAAACATAAGCGTCACTAAACGAACGACGTTTTTCATTTTTGCTGCTAATGTTTGTCCTCCAATCACAGTTGATTGCTAACATTCAACTTGGGCCTTGAAAAATCACACATTACGGTGAAAGGCAGCGATTTACACACTGAATTATCGGACATGCTCGACTGTGAGATTCCAGGTAAATGCAGAAAATGGAAATTCCACACTGGAAGAACCATCCATGATCTCAGCCTCGCACACGTACGTCACAGCTAACATCCGTGAATCTGACCATTTTCACACCAGCTTTGTGGCACGAAGGTCGCGGAGAAGCGATCAGGAAGTCCTGAGCATCACGGGAACTCACACCCACAGCGGGGTTATTTAAGGTCAGAGGAGGCTCGAGCACATTTAACTCAGTCACACGTCGTCGATCAAGTACAAGACGTGACACGTGGCTGCAGCACACGTCTTCTGACGACGGAGACGAGTCGGTCGCCTCAGTCTGAAAAACTAAAAACACAAAGAGACGGAACCACAAACACGATACCATCTCCAGTATCGGTGCAAAAGAAAACTGAGAGTCGCAGCAGCAGAAGTAGAAGAACAGATGCACCGACGAGATAAGACACCTGAACACACCATCATGTGCAGACACAACACAGAAGACGCTATCGAGGCCTCAGATGGTGGAACGTTCTGCCTGTAAATACGACCAAAGGTGGAACGTTCTGAGAATGTTGTTGGAGGAACACTTTGTGGGATCTGTGAAACGTTCCCAGAGCGTTCCACATGGATGCTGCCTGATAAAGGACGAGCAGTTTTGGAGTAACTTTCAGTTTTTCTAGAACGCTCCGACAATGTTCTCACCAAACACTTTTAAGAACATTTTTTTAAATTATCCTGCCTTTAAGAAGAGGAGCATTCTGGGAACTAAAAGAAAAAACTTCCTGCAGAAAACATCAGCAGAACTTTGCAGATAAATTCTAGAATATTTGGCCAAACAAAAAGAATTTCATATTTTAAAAAGTGGCAGAGAAGAAAAAAACTGATGTTTATTGTGATTGTTTTTAGCAGCTCTTTAGATTTGCGGCATAAATTCAACAGAAGAGCACAAAGTCATTTTAAAAAAAAACATACAAGTCAATACAGGAATTGAATAAAAATTAAATAAAAGTAAGATCATTGATCAGAGGCTGGTGTTTGGACGTCGGATCGTCTCCTGACTGTGACCTTGTGACTCCAGGACGCAGCTCCAGGACTCGGCCGTGGACACACCCTCCCGGTTCCACTGTGGGAGGAGGAGGAGGAACCGACGAGGAGGGCCTCAAGTTCAATTGGGACGGCCCCCAAAAAAGTTCCCACACAAAGAGAGAAAAGAGGAAAAGCGTTCAGAGCAGCAGAGAGGGAAGCTCCGCTCGGCAGCTGCGCGGCTCTTCGTCCAGCATGAATTCTGTGGGCAAGTCGTGGCTGCTGCTGACGGGTCTGATCCTGTTCTACATCATCTACCTGCTGTTCGGAGCGCTGGTCTTCTCCAGCATCGAGCGGCCGGTGGAGGATGAGCTGCGGCGCGACATGGAGGCGCTCAAAGCGGAGTTTCTGAACCAGAGCTGCGTCAGCGCCGCGTCGCTCGAAAACTTTCTGGTGCGAGTGCTGACGGCCAACAAGTACGGCGTGTCGGTGCTCAGAAACTCCACCGTGACCTCCAACTGGGACCTGGCATCCTCCATGTTCTTCGCCAACACTCTGGTCACCACCGTGGGTGAGTTCAGGCTCAAGCGTCGCCAAAGTTTGGGCGACAAAAGTCACCTGGTGGCGTTTTTACGCACGACGCACACCAATAGATACACACATTATCCTGCGTTTAAACCACTACAAATCCAGAGTAGGGGCTTTTTTTTAAGTGTTTAAGAGAGAAAAAAACACGCTAAAAATGGAAATAATTGTTTAGTTGTGTTGCCACGTGTTGAGGATGGAGCAGACAAGGTGCAGCTGCGTCACTTTCAGCTTCACTCAGTCGAAATTTAAATGAAACAGACGCCTCAGAGGACACTTGGGGGGATTTTACATTTACTGAAAAATCCCCAAATACATGCACACAATAGTAACTGAAAAAGTCCTCATTGTGTGTTTTTTTTTTCTTAATTAGTAGAACTGTGCAGCATGTGAACATTATGGGTCAAGGCTGCTAATGAGAGTCGATAAAGGGGATTTCTTTTAAATGTAGGAGTTCATCAGAATACTTTCAGGTGTTTTTCAGTTCTCTGTTTGGTCTGCAGAGAGTAAAGAGTTCATATTTGGTCTTATTTGTTTGTCATTTGGACTTTAGACCTGGAAAGAAGCTAAAATCTGTCTCCAGGATGTGAGATCGTGCTTCAAATTTATCACCAAAAACCTGCAATAAAACGAGAGAGTAGAGTTTAAAAGAAATGAAAGATGTTGCATGACGGGAAGGCAGCTTTTTTTAGAATTTTATTTATATTAGAGAAGTTAGGACATAGTAAGTCTGACTTGGTGGATCTGGACTTTGGGTTTGGAAGATCGTCCAGGTTCGTCGGTCCCTCGTCGTGCTGAAAACAAATCAAAAATGCAGGAAATGCCACATTTTTGTGCTCTTAAACTTCCCATCTTCATGCCTAAAAGCTGTAAAGCAGAATACTGCGTGAAAAGAGCTCAGAGGAACCCCGAGTTTTATGTGAACGTCACCCAACCTGATTTAACCTGCCTGTATATTGGACTCCAGTGTTGCTGCGACGCTGTCCAGCTGAGTCCATGCAGGCGTTTGCAGTCGGCCTCGTGACATCTTAACCAACCGTTTTTGCTTTTAGGATTGCAGTAAAATATACGCAGTTGCAAGTAAACCAAGTCTGAGAACAGTTAAATTTACACCACGATGATGTAGTTTCATCCGTAAGCTGCCGTTTCTGACGTGCCTTCAACTCTGCTTCATCTTCTCCTTCTGTCATTCGCTCATTTTCGGATCCCTATCTTCTGCAGGAAGCAATAATCTCCGAGCATCAGCCTGAAAATAGCAGGTTGTGCAAAGGATTTGGAAGTAAAGCTGGTGTAGTTGGTTATGAAACAATTCCTAGACGCTACTTTGCAGGGACACCATCACTGCATCCTGGGCTTCACACCGCCTCAGGAGACTGTGACTTTAATTTTGAGGAAAAACAAAGAATTTAGAGCTTTTTTTCCCTCCGATATCAGAATATCTGGGAATAGTCTGGCTATGCAAGAGTAGGATAGAGTCAAAAGTTTGGTATTCTCGGCCTCTGCTGTTTAGATTTTTGATCTAAACATGCTCCTTCTAGGTTCTATAGCTGTTTGAGACGAGTGTCCCTTTAGTTTGCGATGCAGTGAATTTCATTTCTAGGGTTTTTTTTTTGGTAATTTTACAAACAAGGCTTCAGAGATTGTTGTCATTTCTACGTGTTGTGTCCGGCTGTGTCTGTAGTTTGGTTTGAAGTTTAAATAAAAGAGGTTCCTTTAAAGTTCCAGTGTGTCTTTAACACCTAACTGTCAGCCCGTCTTCCCATGTTGCTGTAAACATCCAGAGAACGCTTGTTGAGCCTTTAAACAACACTTTGCTCCACGTTTAATTACACACACTCGTTTGCGGGAAGCTTCCAGCAGCGTTTCCTCAGAGCAGCTGGTGGTTCACATTCTTCTTCTTCTTGGACTCGTTCCCGGCTGCTCTGCTTTTAGACTCCATGTTTTGGCAAAACAAAAAAAAACAAAAAAAAGCATCTCTGGCAACATTAGTCATCTGTTAAGTCAGTGAGATGGTTTCATGTTGTGCCTGAATTAATGTATTTCCTGTTTAAACAGGATGTGGAGGCAGAGCCGAGGAGCAAAACATGTGTAAATATGAAGTGTAACGGTGCGTCAGGAAGGAAAACAGACAGATTAGGGTTCAAGTTACAGTTTCAACCACAAAGGCAAGAAAAAAAAAGCACCTATTGTCAAGAAAAACAAACCAGATGGGAGGTTACGGCTGAGATCAACCAAAAACATTCAGACGCTGAATAGTTTCAACACCTGGACCTAAACACAACATGGTATCTGTGAGTTTGAAAGCAAATCTTGGAATATGCTTCACTTATTTCCAACAAAGTATGTGGCCATGAGCTCGTTTCTTCATGTTGGCGAAAAGAAATTCTGCAAGAATAGAGAAAAAAAACTCAGCGTAAGAGGAACGAACTGTGTATTTAAAGATAAAATCTGCTTTAAAGCTCAATGAAAGTTGCAGAAATTACGTCCATGCGTCCCAAATTTAAAACAAAAGTGTGGAGCCATTTACGCTGCAGCTGCAGACGAACCTTGTGTGGCAGCTTCACCGCCTTCAGTCTGAGTACTGGTGTTGTTCTTGGTCCATTTAACTTTATGTTGGGAGGGAATCCAGGACATCAGCGTTAAATGTTAACTTTGCTTTGATCAGTCTGTAGAAACTGCAAACATATGACGTGTTTAGGAGGTCTGGACTTTGAATTTCAGACCGTTTTGAGCCACGCTGCTAACAAACGTCGCCACCGACCTCCTGCAGCATCTCCGCAGGTTCCATTATGAACCACAGACAAGCTGCCATAAACGACGCTCACACGCTCACTGAGGAAATGCAAATTCACGCATGAAGCAGAACAGAAGCGACGTTTGTGTCTTTGCTCTGCGTGATGCATGAGTTTCTTTCACGGTGCGGCGAGTGGAACACTTCCTGAGATGTCGTAACGTGATTAGCAGCCTGTCAGCGAAAACAACAGCAGCAGCAGTCAGAGCGTCACACGGGTTGTAAATAAATCACCAGTTTAGTTTATGAAACTGGAAGTGAATCTAAACGTTGGTGGGATGCGAGAAGTTGAACAGCATCGTTCTGCAAAACTAGAATCTGGACGTTTCCATCCTGACAGCTCCTGATCTTTACGTGCTGATTTGTCACCAGGATCGCAGCTGTAATGTTTAGAGGTTAAAATGCTGCCATGACTTTGTTTTTTAAAAGAACACGCAGGTCTCGTGCTTTGTGATGTTTGTCAGAGTGA